GTGGTGATCCCAAAACAGAAATCAGGTCTTAAAGAGGTCAGAAGCAAGCTGAGGTCTCAGAAAGAGAGTGTCCTTTGTCACATGAGATTCAGAAAGGTGAATGATCAGACCAGTGGTTAAAAAACATTGTAGCATCACCCCTCTGTGGGCTATTGTGCGGCCATTAAAAATAGGTAGGGGCCAACCAATGAAATGGTAAATAAGAACACATGAGAGATCGTGTTATATAAAAAAGACAGACATAGGATTTTTGATTACAGAATGTAAAACTTGCTTAAAAGAAAATTTAAGGGAGTAGACCGAAATTTTAATGGTTATGACACAGTGATGAGTTTATTTTTTTTTAACTGATTCCACACACCTTTTGCAGTGTTGTCACATTCCTTTAAAATGTGAAAAAAAAAAAAAAATCTGCCTGTCGTCCTCGCAGATGGCTCCTGGAAGAGCTGAGATAGTGCAGAAGACACGCCCTAGGCTGAAGGGGGGGCACCAGGAGCCAGGAGGCTGACTCAGCAGCCTTCGAGCGTGGGCGAACCTGGGCCTGGAGCGCCCGGCAGGTCATTTCTTCACCGGCCACCGCCCCGCGGGGTCTCACTGAGTGCCCGCTAGCAGGCCGCTCCCGGTGGGCCCAGCCGCCACCCAGCCCCCGACTGTGTTGTCCCCAAGCGATCCTCTCGGCGAAGTTTGTCTTGGAGAGGAGGGAAGCGCCGCGAGCGGCTGGAAACCCCGCGACCTCGCCCTCCCCGGGCCTCGCGACCCCACGCCCTGCGCCCTGGCGCCCCCCGTACCTCTTGCAGGGGATCAGCGCCTTCCTCTCGTCCAGCACCCGCACGCGTTGGTTGAGCCCGTCGTAGGAGAGCAGGGCGCGGCTGTAGCGCCCGGTGCTCTGCCGGTACAGCACCTGACGCCCCTCCCACTGCTGCGGCGCCTGGCACGGGCGCCGAGCCCCCGGGGAGTCCCCGGCCCCGGGCCCCGGGGCCGCCGCCGCCGCCCCCAGGCCGCAGAGGCCGCCCAGCGCCCAGACCCAGAGGCCGCCCAGCAGCCAGGCGCCTAGGGCCCTGCGGGCCACGCGGAGGAGAGCGCGTCCCGGCATCGCCGTCCGCCGCGCCCGCCGCCCCCACGAGGCCCAGCCTGAGCCCGAGGGGGCGCTGAGCAGCCCAAGAGAAGCGCGGCGCGGAGCTCTCTCGGACTGTGCCCGAGTGCGGTCTGGGCCAAGTTGCTGCCGGTCCCGGCGGCGGCCTCTACGGCTCTGGGGATCAGGCCTGGGATCCGGGCCCTGGGCCCTGGGGAAGCTCCGGTGAATCGTGCGGGAGCTATTTGTGCCCGGACCGCTGCCCGCTGCAGCTTCTGTTTTCACTTGCTCTCTGCTGCCAACAGGAAATGCAGTGGCAGCGGTGCCACTAGCATCCTGAAGGGCATCCGTGTTTTAAAGGGGGGCGGGGGGGGAGCGATGAGAAGGGAAATGTTTCTCTGCTAACTTGAGTATTCAACGGGTAGCCAACTCTGGGGGACGAGCTCGAGGTCAAGGTCGGGAAAGCAGGGCCTCAGCACTTGCTGTGCCGCAGGTACCCTGTCCCTTTATCAAAATTGCCACCTGCTAACTCCAAATTAAAGATGGAAAAAAGGGTTCCTTCCTGAAGAAATGACACGAGTCATTTATCATGGCCGTTTGGCAGCCCCCCACTCCCCATATAGAGCCTGGCGGACTAGAAAATAGGCCCTTGCTCTTGCGCTGAGGACTCAAGGACATGCCTGGAGGCCACATTTGCGGTGAGACTGCTCCCCTCACTCATCACTTGACAATACCACAAGCCTAGAGGTTTGTGTGTCTGGGAGTTTAGGATCATCAAGAAGAAAGTTAATTGGGTTTATGTTGGTGTAATGTTAGGATCTAGAGTATGGAATCAAGAAGAAAGAAAACAACTGTTTAAAAACCAAAAGCACAGCCTTGCTTTCCAAGTTTATAGAGTCTTTTCACTAGATCTGCCTTTCAGGGATGAAGAAGCATGAGGCAGGTGAAAGTGGGAGAGAGCGTTCCTGTATGAGAGTCAGCGCGGCGACAAGAGAAAATGAGTGTGATATTTGGGTTCAAGTATGAAGCAGAAGGTAGTCCGGAGCCAGATCACTCAAGGCCTTGAAAACCATTTTAAGGATTAGTTATTAATACCGGGGTTGTTGGAGCCATCCATAAATGTAAAGCTAAGGAGAGCATCATCAGGGATATGCCTTAGGAAGCTCCCCCAGGTCAGTGTGGAGGATGGCAGGGCAAGGCAGAGGGCAGGGAGAAGGAGGAAGATACTGTTGCAATCCAGACGAGAGCTGCTGTCTGAGCTAAGGCCATGGTTGTAGAAATGCAGAGGGTGGAAGAGTTGGGAACAAGAGAGAAGGATTTAGACTCGGAGGAAGAGGTTTCTGGTTTGGACCACTGGGAGTTCAGCCTGGAGTGAGAGAAGATAAATTCAGTTTAGGGTTGGCTGATTTTGAGATGACTGTGGGATATACAGGTGGAAGTTCCCAGGGGACAGTTGGATAAACAATTCCAGAGACCAGCAGGCCTAGAGGTCTGGATTTGGAAGCCACTGACATCTAGGTGGTCCCCGAAGCCAGAGAGGAGAGTAGCACAGTGGTTTTCCACCCAGGGCAATTTTGTCCCCCAGGGGGCAGTTGGCAATATCTAGAGACCTTATTGATTATCACAGTGGGGTAGGGGGTAAGCTGCCCCTGGCATCTAGTAGGAGGAGACCAGAGATACCAATGTGCAGGACAGCCCCCAGTACCACCACCACTCAGCCAGTAAAGAATTATCCAGCCCCACTGTCAACAGTGCTGAGGTTGAGCCAACCTGGAGCAGCAGGGAGTGTAGAGAGTGAGAAGAAGGCTGAGGATGGAGCCCTAGAGAACTCCAGACATTGAAAGGATGGGCAGAGAAACAGTCCCTGGAGGAGACTGAAAAGGAGCTACCGGAGAGAAGCCACAGACCAGGGGAACTTCCCCAGTTACATGAGCTTTTGGCAAATCAATGTCAAGTATGAGGTAATGGATTGAGTGCTAAAGCCGGGCAAGAAGATGGAGACTGGTTGACAGACTCTCCGGATGAATCCCTCAACACTGCCACCCTCTCCTAGAAACGCTAAGGCCAGACTACCAACAGACCTAATGGGATAAGCAAAGAGCTTTATGGAGAAGGGTTCTTAACTTCTCCTCTCCCTTTCTTAAAGGACATGCCATCTGCGAACATGAGGGAAGCACCTGAAATGTCGCGATTTGGTACTTGCATAGCTAAACTAATGCAGCAGGTTCAAACTGGCTGCAGAAGTTTGAGTCCTCCCCAGGTTTGCCCTCCTCAACTAACTCCAGGAAAAGGACAGGGAGTCCAGCTCTCTCAAAACTGTATCTTCTTCCCTGGTAGGAACTTGGGCTGAAAATCTTTTTCACTAAGCCAGGCATTTATACCTACTGGAGTTTACTGCTGAAAATGGCTTGAGATCTCATCTGGGCTATCCCCTTCACTTGATATTTCACTAGCCTGCGTTGGCATTTTTGAAGCTTGAGAGCTGTTCTACAGAAAACTGGAATATCTCTCTAGATTGGCCTGCCTGTTTGGTCACCCCGGCCTTCCCACAAAATAGAATTGGACTCCTTGGGTGAATCCTGAAATGTATTTGTCTCATTTACCCTTTCAGCCTACCGTGTTTGATTCATGTTCCTGGGGGAAAAAAAATAAGATCATGCATTTAAAGCACTTAGCACTACCCCGAGCCCATTGTACATGCTCAGTAAATGTCAGTTGTGCTTTTCCTTTCCTGGGCTATTTTAATCCTCAGTCCTGATCAGGGTCAAAACTAAACTAACTTTGTGGATCTAAGCTTTAGAGACAAAAAAATCTGTCTGCCTCAAGTTCAGATTTCCAGTTAAATCATGTTTTTAAAGATTAACATTCAGATAACGTGTTTTCATATTCTAATGCCCTAAGAAAATATCATATACCAGAAATCTTACTGCCTGAAGATTGATGTACACTTGGAACAATAAAGCCTCCCTTTTCTGTGGATAGCTGAGCCAGCAGTGGATTCTACTACCTCTTTCTAATAAAAATAAAAGAGAAAACAAAACATACATCATTGTTCTCCATGGTACACAGCTTCTTACTTCATTTAAATAACAGTTTCCAAGCAAATCAAAAATCAAGATGTTAGACTGCTGGGTTGGAAATCACTTGGCATGAAGGAGGAAAAAAAAAATCTTTCAAATTGTGGTATCCAAAGTCTTCTATGTTTTCTGCTTTCATTCACGTTGGGGAGAAGAATAGGGAGTCAGGAGAAGGAAAAGGGGATGTTGGTGGATGGAAGACGTTCTCAAACTGGAAGATGCTGTTACACCTTCAGGCAGTTCTGTTCCTGGAGCAGGTACAGATCAGAGGCCATTCTGGAAAAACTTGAGCCCAAAGTAAAGTCTACTAGCCACAATAATAACAACAAAAACAAATTCCATACAACTCGCGGCTGGGAGGGGGGCGTCCTTCCCTTTGCAGCTGCACGCTCCCCGTCCCACACAATAGTCTCACCGCTCAGCGCTTCTCATGCCCCCTACTGGAGAAGGCAAGTATGTTTCAGAGTTAAAGAGCAGCAGAAGTTCCCATTTCCCTCCAACTCTACAGTTGGGGAACCCATAAGGCAGAGGGCGCAAAGTTCAGCTTTGACTGGAAAGGCGGTCCCTCCCTCTCTTGAAATCCTCTCTTGCACCTTCTTGGATCCGGTGTCCAAAACGACTGCCAGAGGCTCTTTTTCTTGGTCTAGAGAAAAAGGACTGGCCAGACTAAAAAGGACGGACTTTGGGGGAATGCAGGATTCCAGCCCTGGGCTACGGCCCGGAGGAGATGATGTCACCACTTCTGCAAGAGAGGGCCGAGGGTGGGGCGGCCGAGGGGGAGCCCGCGCCGCGCCTGCAGCTGCCAAGGGAGCGTTCCTGAGCCCACGTCAGGGGAGGTGTCGGGATAAATAGGTCCCGCAATGGCCGGGACTGGCTGCGCTCGGAGCTGCCGGGCCGGGGGCTGGAGCCACCAGGGCGGGTTCACGCCCCGGAGGCTGAGGGCTGGTGCTACTCGTGCTGTGCGCGTCGGACGGCGTATACTCCCAGCCGGCCCCCGCGGCCCAGCGTTGCTGCCCACGGGAGTTTGGGACGAGCACATCCCCTGTGCCCTAAAGGACTTCCTCCTTCGGGAAGGGAGAGAGGAAGCCTAGGGGGACGGGGAGAGAAGGGCCCGTTCTGCCTGTCGGGGTGGCGGCGCGGGAGAGCAGTGCCATGCTCCTCTCCATCCTGACCGCGCTCTGCCTGTGGCTGCGCCTGGCGCTGGGCGTGCGCGGCGCGCCGTGCGAGGCGGTGCGCATCCCCATGTGCCGGCACATGCCCTGGAACATCACGCGGATGCCCAACCACCTGCACCACAGCACGCAGGAGAACGCCATCCTGGCCATCGAGCAGTACGAGGAGCTGGTGGACGTGAACTGCAGCGCCGTGCTGCGCTTCTTCCTCTGCGCCATGTACGCGCCCATCTGCACCCTGGAGTTCCTGCACGACCCCATCAAGCCGTGCAAGTCGGTGTGCCAGCGCGCGCGTGACGACTGCGAGCCCCTCATGAAGATGTACAACCACAGCTGGCCCGAGAGCCTGGCCTGCGACGAGCTGCCTGTCTACGACCGGGGCGTGTGCATCTCGCCCGAGGCCATCGTCACTGACCTTCCGGAGGGTGAGGCCCGGGGAAGGACCGAGGGGGGTGACGAGGCACCCTGGGCTGTCGCTGCCACGTGAGAACCCGACGGCCACACCTACAGCTGCCAGCGGGTGGTCGAGCAGCCCCCCATTCTACTTAGGAGAGCTGGAGGAGGTGGGAAGGGCAGTGACTTGATTTCGGGAAAAGTCTGCTTTCTCTACTGGAGTTTTGGGAGCTAAGGAGCACCATGTCCCATAAGGAGGGGCGGGCGATTTTGCTTAGATAGGGGACCATTGGGGACATTTTCCTTTATAGTAATAAAATAAGATAGTAGCAGTAGTAAACAAGTATATAGGGTTTAAGGTGGATCTGAGCCAGCTTTAAGTACTTCACATGTTATCATTTAATTATTAAAATATTTCCACCAGAATTCTTCATTTAATGTTAGCTCTTGAAAGCTCTTCTGAAAAAACAGTACTAGTTCTCACTCCCCACCAGGAGTGCAGTTTGTAAATTTAGTTGCCCTGGAAAACTGTGACATCTGTTTCATGGTCTTTGACCCAGGGCCAACCTCTGTGGCATCTTAGTCAACTCGAGCTCAACCACCACTTCCTTCTTTTCTCTTTGGTCTTTTTTCCTGCTTTTCTAGGAAGAAGGAGCAGGTTTAAATCCACTTCTTGAAATAAAACCTAAGTATATTTTTGCCTCCTTTTATGCCTAACCCAGGTTGCTGCACATTTAAAGAAACTATGGTGTTGCTTTAGTGTAGTTTCTGAAGTTATACCTCAGAGCATTGCCCAAAACGTGGAGGAGAAGAAGTAAAATGAAGAGGAAAAACCGAAACTCCTCTCTAATTCAGAGTTTTAGAAAAAACATATTCATTGCTTAAATTATAGAAATGATACAGGGCTATGCTTGTTTGGGGTACCTATGGACTGTTTCTGCAAAATGTGAGGTGGGGATTTGGAAATATTTGGGTTATTCTGATTAGTGTAAACTGTCAACTTGAAAAATCAACATTTTAAAATAGGTTTGGGGCGGAAGGATGTAATTTATCCAGGTTGACTGTATGTATCATCCAGTTTAAATGGACGTGCCTTCACATCAATTTGTTCTGGATAAGCAGTCCCAGCCAAAAGTCTTCTTTCCTAAGCCCAGAGAGTCTATATGAAAGAACTAGTTGACAATCACATACAATTTTTACCATTCAGGATTTGTGTGTGTGTGTGTGTGTGTGTGTGTGCACTGCTGTGTTGTCAGTGTGTCCAGATGATTCCTTATTCCAACTGGGTGAACAGACCAAATCACTGACCACACCCATGTGGCCCTGTGTGTGTTTCAGACGTTAAGTGGATAGACATCACTCCAGACATGATGGTACAGGAAAGGCCTCTTGACATTGACTGTAAACGCCTAAGCCCTGGTGAGTTCTTTGTCCTCAAGGCTCCCTCTCTTTCTTCTCCCCAGAGTGATTTCTGAATCTTTTTCTTCAATTTTTGGTCTCTCTTTTGTCTTCTTTAGACCGGTGCAAGTGCAAAAAGGTGAAGCCGACCCTGGCGACGTACCTGAGCAAAAACTACAGTTACGGTAAATTATCTGCTGAAACCATTGGGTTGGGGACTTGGCGCGTGACAAAGCCAGGTCTGCTAGTCATGAGGTGACGAAGAGGGATTTTTCTAGTTAATCATGTGGGCTCTAGGTGGCACAATAGCAACTGTAAAAACGTCTTGCTTTTCTGGGTAAAGCACCCAGGTGAGAACGGTGGTGTGAATTAGTGTAATCCCTCATCCTACGCGTCCTGGTGAGAAGTGCTGTCAGCCGGGAGAGCACCTCACTTTTCTCAGGATTTCACTGCTGCAGGAAGGATGGGTGACGATCCATGGATTTGACCTGAGGCCCAGAGACCCAGGAATTAAGATCTGCACATGTATCTTTTTACCTATAAATAGCTACAAATATTAAACACCTTAAAGAAATTGTGGGAATATGTTAATCACAAGACCCTGTGGCTGTAAGTATTGGCATAGCTTAAATGCCCTCTTCTCTTATTTGAAAGACCCAGACAGCACTTTCTTCAGAGAATAAGTCAATCATGCTACTTTGAATGTTTTCAGCAAATTTAATTCTGCTATCATCATTTGAAAGTAAATTTAATTAAAAATGTGTTCCTTTAAAATATCTTTGGGTTATTTTCTGGGGTTGTTTTTTTTTTACATTTCTTAAATTATTTCTACTGAAATAACAGAAACTGTTTGGGGAAAACTGTTCATTTTATTTGCTAACTCAGCTTTCCATATTTCAAACTGAAATTTTATATCATAAGAACCTTTATATTATACAACCCACATAAAAGCAGGAAGACCATGGCACTATAAAAGTCTGAAAAAATAACCTCTTATTTAGGTTGTCGGATTTTAGAATCACACATAGCCGAAGTGCATAATTCAACCAAAAAAAAAGTACACTATCTTTTCTAGTAGCTTTTTGTTGTTGTTATTTTAAACCTGTTCTATGTAGATATCATTGTAATCTGATCCACAAAATCCCTCATCTGACACTATCCAGCCTTAGTTACTTAGTTGTAACTAAGTTGTAACTGAGTTTCACTGTCATGCTGTCCTCTGGGGAATCATTGCTTCAAAACCACTTTGATAATGAAACTATTTTCTATTTACATTCTTTAGCTCCTTCATAAACCAGCTTCCTAGGATGGAATCCAAGACAGAGCCACCCTTGGCTGATTACAACTCCACTGCAGGCAGTAATAGCAAGGGACCAAAAGAGTCAGAATTGAAAGCAGGATCAGAGACAGTGATATTACCAGCCATCTGTAATAACAGTTCTACCTCTACCCACCATGGACCCTGCTTGGGCAGTTTGGGAAATGAAAGGATTGAGAACAGTAGTCTTCAGAGACTCCTTCCGGTGCAAAAATGTTATGACTGTAATAACTTCCTCTGGAGCAGAGTGAGTTCAAGCAGGAGATGGGTGATTGAACCATACAAACTTTCAGGTGGCTTCTGAATCTGAGAATATATGATTCTCACTTCAAATCATTACATGACAGAGTAGAAGCAAGCATTGTTTCTATAAAATTTTATCGACATTCTATGTAACTAAATTTCCTGATACGTTTCTGGCCCCCAAAAAACCCCTAATCATAGAATTATAGAATTTTAGGGCTGAGAAGGATCCATGGGATTCTCTATTCAAACCCTATCTGTGGTCCATTGTGGAGCAGTCACTGACCCAAAGACAGATCCCAGACTAAGCCTGCTTGTGAATTTACTTTTCCGTCTTGCAGCGTGATTCAGAACTTTTAAGACATTGTTGACAATATGCGAGGCCTTACATTTAGCACATGATTGTGTGGCCTTTTTTTGCCTGCATTCGGGCAGCTTGGACATGGCCATAATTACAGGAGTGATTCTTTAAGAGAGACTCAGGAGTTGGCAGGAATAAACCATCCATATTTTTCCGCAAAGCTTCAATAACACATATCGATTTTTCAATTGCAGTCATTCATGCCAAAATAAAAGCTGTGCAGAGGAGTGGCTGTAATGAAGTAACTACAGTGGTGGATGTGAAAGAGATCTTCAAGTCCTCATCACCCATCCCTCGAACTCAAGTCCCACTCATTACGAATTCATCCTGCCAGTGTCCTCACATCCTGCCCCACCAAGATGTCCTCATCATGTGTTATGAGTGGCGCTCACGGTAGGCACAGACGGGCAGAAAAAATTACACACCGCCTAGGAAAGACGTAAAATTCCACTTAATCGTGGTTTAAAAAGGAAAAAGAAAAAACGGCTCTAGCTTTTTGAAAAATCAGTTTGAATAGATGCCTTGGTTAGGATATCGCATCTCCTAAATATCGATTAATTCTTCATAGAATTAAGGAGAAATGGAAATATATTTGAGTGGACTCTTTAAAAATCAATTTCAGAATTCATTACCTGATTTCAAAAACTTATAGACAAACATATTACTTTGAGTAAAACCAATTCTTTTCAAATCAATCTTAGTGTGGCAAATACTGAATTTTCTTAAGGTCTCTTTAATAACTTACAAATCAAAGGAAAGTGGCCATTTGAGACTACACTTCCACACATTTTCTTTACACTGAATTTACAACATTTGTTGGTTGGAGTGTTACATACACACACGTACACACACGTGCACACTCACATCTATTATATGCGTATCTCTAGCTGAAGGTGTCTCCCCACACATCTTTCCTTAGCATCTTTTTATTTATCCTTATAATATAACAAGTCCTTAAAATATAAAAATCAAACACTTCAGTGCAGGTTCCAGACTGAGTCCCATAACTTGCTGCAATCTATTTCTCCAGCAGAACTACTAATTTTTATATAAAAAGTCTTCCCTTTGATTCTCTGCCATTAATAATGCTCACCTGTTTCTCCTGGATACAGCTCAAGGTTCTATTTCTCAAAAAAACAAAAACAAAAAAAACACCTTTTGAAACTGACTTCACTTGAATACTTTCTTGTTCTGGAGTCTATCAGTACTTAGTACCCTCTTCAAAATTCCTTGCGTTCTTGGTTTTAAAGCTGTTTTGCTGCTGATATCTTGTCTTTCTAAAGACATTGAGTGAATGAATGTTGAATGAATATTTCTGGGCTGGTCTCTTGTATGGCTTTTGCATCCACTCCAGTACTAGAAGCAGTTCTGGGGATGTGCCGGGTCGCTGCACAGGTGAATGGATTATACATGAGTTAAATAACAGCCTTCGTGTCATTTTCCCATTGATTTATAGACAGTGTAATTCTGATCAAAATCCTAGTAAAAATTTTATGGATGATTGAGATTTATGTCTTCACAAACAATGCTAATGATCATTTGGAAGAATAAACTGGTAAGGGCATGTAAAGGAGGTTCTGAAAATAAGAGGGATGAGAGGAAATGTGCCTTATGAGACAACAAGACTAGTATAAAGCTAGTTCAAACCATGCGGAGCAACAGTAGATGTGTAGATAAATAAAGCAGAGGAAAAAGTCTTGCAACAGATTATAATTCATACAAGAATTTGTATCATGAAGGAAATATGGCAAATCAATAGAAATGAAACTATTATTTACTAAATGTTGCAAATAGCTTTACTTGGAAAAATAGTATGCATTTTCACTTTGTACTCTAAAATAAATTTCAAATGGGTTAAAGAGGTAACTAGTTTAAAAACCTAATCAAAAAGGATAAAGTTCGGTAAATAAATGTATGCTATCTGAAAAGCAAAGTGGTTTGTAAACATAAAAGTAATGTAAGAAATTACGAGGGAAAATGTCAATGCACATATTTGATGACACTATTGTGTACATAAAAATCCAAAATAAAAAGAGAAAGACAAAAAGTACTTGCAACAGGTATGACAAAAGAATAATAATCTTACTCTATAAAAAGTTCATATAAATTAATATTTAAAACATTGACTACAATATAGAAATACATGTACATCTGTAAATCTATACAAAGTTGCAGAAGTACAAGTAGTAAATAAACATTAAAATATTTATCTCCTAATTCTGCAACCCAAATAAAAACAAGATTCCATTTTTACCTAGTCTTAGTGTCGGTGAATTAAATGAAAGTTCAGCCGTTTTGAAAATAATTTAGCACTATGCATTGAAAACCTTAAGAAAAAAAAACAAACTCTGACCCAGATTTCTACATTCGGAAATCTATCTTAAGGATATAACTAGCCAGTGCACACTAGCGATATTCAATGCAATGCTAATAATAATAGCTAAGCAAAAGAGGAGGTTCGACAGTGGAGAAATAGTTAAATATATTATGGCTATCCATAGTTATAATTTATATGGTTATGAAAGTTATATTTTTTGAATTATTCAATTATATCAGAAAATGCATACAATGCTAAAAGGAAATATACAGTGTGATCTAAATATACAGTGTGATCTAAAAATATATATAGGTACAAGGAAGAATGAAATGAAATATCAATAAAATATAAATGGGGAATTGTGGGGTTAACAGTGAAGAATTTTGTTTTTTTACAATTTTTTGTATTTTTGAACTTCTTACTTTCCTAATAAGTATTGCTTATTAAGATAAATTACTTTTTTTCAGGATGATGCTTCTTGAAAATTGTTTAGTTGAAAAATGGAGAGATCAACTTAGTAAAAGATCCATAGTAAGTATAATTAGCAATACTAGGAATATGGATTTGAATGCATGTAAAGAAATTCTATAGAATTTGGGAATTCTTCACATTCTTTCATCTCCAGGCTATCATAGGAGCCGACAATAGCAGCAGTATTTGTCTTTTGAATAGGTAGTTAAGAGAATAATTTTTCTCACTTGGAGTTTCTACCATAAATTTCTCTTTAGCTTCAAAGGTGATTTGGTTGCATTCAATACGGATCTACTGGTTATTTCCAGATTAAATTCGTTTTTTGGTTGTTTTAGCAAACAGTCAAGTACTTGAACAGAATTAATATCCAGTGGGATTAATACAGACATATACATGTAGGGGTGTGAATACCTAGTTTTAAAAATCACCCTATCACACTCTATAAGGCAGAATCTTTCCCTGTATTTAAAATAATTTTAAGACTTTTGTCCAAATAAATCATATACACAAAGTAATACTTTTGTGGCCAGACCCATAATTTTAGTAGTAACATCATAGAAATATTGGCAACTCAGAGGAGTTAGAATAATTTTTTGCCCAGACATGTGAAATCATTCCAGAACTAAATAAATCAGGTCATTGGGATGGAATTTTTAAAGCATCCCTTCTCCTGAAAATATATTTAGATATATGCAGGAGAATTTGTGTTGCCATGTTCACAACAGATACTGCTACTGCCTGTGCTCTCTTACTTTGCAGGAATAAAAATCCCTGGGCAAGGGGAGAGTGTATATTAATACTGATTTTTGGAGAAGGTAGTTTCAACACAGCCTCTCCTACTGAGTGCATTTCTGAATAACAGACCCAAACACTGCTCTTGCATCTGAGCTAAACATTCATGAGCTGCTCAGGAGCACGCTTGGTCTTACTGGACAGAAAATTCTAGCAAGATTGGTTATCTGGTTCCCAAAACTGCAGTAGATTAGATGACTCAACCTAGAAGGCAAGGCTACCATAAAAACCTGACATTGTTGAGAGGAAAGAAAGCTTTCAAGAACCATAGCTGTTTGGGTCATTCACGTTGACAGCAAATACTCCAACTTAAGAATATGAAAATATAATCATGTAATAACAACATACAGTAATGAGTTTATTATTTTAGAACAGACTAGAGTTGTGCCCTAGGAGGGTGGGGACGGTGTTTTTCATTTCACTGTATTTCCACTGCCTGGTCTATGGTCATGTTCAAATATTTTGCTAATTGAAATATACTCTAACAAAGTAGGGACTTACGTGTTATAATGAAAAGTAATGTCTATTCAAGTGGACTCACTTTTTCATTTTTTTCTTACACATTTTCATATTTAAAGAGTAAATCCTTTTCTATCAAGGAGACTTGAATATCTAGAATGACTCATTTCTCATTGGCTCTGGGTAGCTAACACTTGAGTGGATTACTGGTTGTGGGTGGAGCTTCTACCTTCCTTTGGATGTAAGAGTTAGGTGAACCCATAAGTGTGATAAGAAACCCTGACTTTCTAGTGTAGCTGGAAAAATTTCTGCTTTTAGCCTTGGTAAAACGTTTTTTAGAAGGCTTTGCTGTATAGGAAAGTTGCATTAGAGGGCCTATGGGAAAAGTTGCATGAGCTAGGGCCTTGGGCTCGGGAGTCAGACTGGTGAATTTGAATTCCAGCTCTGACATTTGTCGGCTGTGTGACTTTCTGCAAATAATATCACTGTGCTTGTTTCCGGGTCACGACAATGGTGTCCGCCTAGAAGGGCTGTTGTTTCAACGAAATGATTGCTTGTCAAGATGTCACCATATACTCAGCACTTTCCAGAGCATCTGGTACAGGATACATGCTCACCATCGTAGGGTAGGGGAGCTATTATAATCTTGGATGTCTTGATGAATATATTACAGTGAAAGTCTGCATTATTTTGGATATTAGTTTAAGAGCATAAAGGGGTGAGATGTACTTGACAGTCATGTGTACACGTTGCCTCCCAGCAGTGGGAAGAGAGGCTGCAGGAACAGCAGAGGACAATCCAGGACAAGAAGCGCACAGCGGGGCGCACCAGCCGCAGTAACGCCCCGAAACCCAAGGGGAAGCCGCCTGCCCCCAAACCAGCGAGCCCCAAGAAGAACATTAAAGCTAGGAGTGCTCCAAAGAGAACAAACCCAAAACGAGTGTGAGCTAACTGCTTTCCAAAATGGGGACTTCCTCTCAGGTTGAGGCCAGGCATTACCCACGCAGCCTGTAGAAGGCCGTACACCCCTTGCCTTAACAACTGCAGTCCTTTTCATAGACACGTCTTGCAGCATTTTTCTTAATGATATGCTTCAATTTTTCTTTTTAAGTCACTACAAGCCATAGTGGTAGGTATGCCTTTTGGTATGGAAGGTATATGAAAGCTGGTCGAAAGAGCTTATTGAGTTGAGAATAAACCATGTGCATACTCTGTGGGAGCTCCACGTGGGGAAAATGCTTTTGTTCTTACAATTTGACCTAATATGTGCATTGTAAAGTAAATGCCATACTACAAACAAAACACCCAATTTTTTTTTACGATATGTTTTATTTCAGCTGGTTGTTAGGATGTTAGCGATTTTTTAAAATGTGATTGAAAATGTAATGCTTCTAAGGAAATCAAGAGGAATGAATGTCTAAAAGATCTTATGTGTTTACTGTTTGCAGAAGAATTTTTGTGATGAAAGGGGATTTTTGAACAATCCAGAAAAGTAGGATATGGAAAATTGTAATGAGTTTGGTTTTTGGTTTTTTGTTTTTACAAAGAAGCCTTTCTGCTCTGTTTTTAGCTAGAAGCTCTAAAAACGAAAACAATAGTATTGTTAAATAAATAAAAGGGAAAGGCAGACAGACAAAGTCTGGATCCTTGTTTTCTAGTTAACATGCCATGGTGGAGATGCTCTGATTTTATATGCACAATGTTTATCAGTTCCCTTTAAGTAGCACCAGAAACTGTTTGTTTCTCCTCTTATGATTTAGGTACCAATCAGTCAACCCCAAGCATCTTACACACGTGGGTGTGGTGCTCATCTCTTCCCAGGACGTCCCAGGTATCTTGATGCCCAGTCTCTCTGCTGATTGCTGGTGCTCCCAAGGGTGCCTTGGGTCTGAGGTGGCAGGGTCAGAATCCAAAGCCCCTGGTCCCCAGCCTGCTATGGCACCCTTGCCACACACCATCTCTGCACTTGGAAAAAGCAGCTGTAATCAATTGTTCATCCAGCATTCAAGAATGTAGAGGAGCAATCTGAAAGCTTAAGAGTAAAATCTCCTTTAGACGTACCATTGTCCCTGCTTCTCAGAGAAGGGGTAAGCTACAGGTTGCATTCACACATGATTTTTTAATTTCATCTCTGTAGCCATTAGGACACAGAAGTGAGGTGTGTGGGTAAGCCAGGGGAAAATGGAGAAATAGCGTTAATGAGGATGCTGGCAAGGGCACCCATCTCCTCCTGAAAGTGTAACTTCACCTGCATCGCTACCCTAGGGCGGCAGAATTGAAGGAATCCAATAGATCCACCCACACAGGGGTATCAATAAAATACTCCGCTTTGGCCCTTAAGGAAAGCCAGACAGGTGTTTGGCATAGCATCTAAATTAAAGAAACCTAGGAAAGGCCATGAAAAGGCATTGGTACCCTAGCTTACCTCCTTAGCATAGTAGGAATCTGGGGAGGGGGGCGTGGGGAGGCGAGTTACAACTCTCAGTGGAAATGAAGAAAAAACGCTTCTGTAAAACTTTTTTTTTCAAGTGCAAAACGACATAATAAGAGTTTGGAGATGACTTTACAAACTTAAACACTGTTTCCTTTGAATATTTAACTGAAATCATATACTGCATATCACACAAAAACGTAATTAGGCACACTTATTAGTTTTATTAATTGATAAAAGATCGAGGCCACTGTTTGGATATTTATTATAAAAAAGTTGAAAATGAACAGCAGCCCACACTGAGAGTAATATAACAAGTGTGGAAGTGGCTTTTGTGTGAGAGCCACGAATTTATTTTTCTCCCTTAAGATATTTTCTCCACCTAGATACATATGAGAGGTAAATATAAATATATGGAGAGGAAGGCTGTGGTACTATCTCCGAAATAGGTATTATTCGAGAGTTGGGTTACTTTAATCAGAAAAAAATAACAATTTTGCACTATGTTCATCAACAAATTTCATAATTGAGGACTAGAGGCATTTATTTTTAAAAATACTTTTGTTGGTCTTTCAATGATACAGTAAATATGTCTTTTCTATAAAGCATTCAATAAATACATAAAATAAAAAAATAATGGAATTAAAATCCTACCTAATCCCACTCACCACTCTGCAGAGATAATCACTGTTAGTACTTTGGTATATAATTTTCCAGGTGTTTCCTCTGCATTTATATAAACACTCGCTCTGTACGTCCATTCTTTTCCCGAGTTCTTGTATCATCTTTTTTTTTTTTTAACATCTTTATTGGAGTATAATTGCTTTACAATGGTGTGTTAAGTTTCTGCTTTACAACAAAATGAATCAGTTATATATATACATATGTTCCCATATCTCTTCCCTCTTGTATCATCTTTACGATTGTTACTCTGAACTCTTTCTCGGGTAGATTGCCTATCTCCACGTCACTTAGTTGTTCTTCTGGGGTTTTATCTTGTTCCTTTGGAACATATTCCTCTCATTTTGTCTAAATTTCTATTTATATTTTTATATATGTGGAAGGTTAGTTACGTTTCTTGACCTTGGAGAAGTGGCCCTCTGTCGGGGACGTCCTATGTGTCCCAGCAAGTACACTCCCCTCTTGTCGCCCAAGGTTCACGGACCAGCTGGTCCCAGGGTAGGTTCCGATCTGCGTTTTCAGACTCGATTCCGCAGGCTGCTGGATCGTGGCTTCTTCGCTTCTGGTGTCTGCCGCCTGCTAGCCTAAGTGGCTTGCGCAGACTTCCGGGTGGGTGGAGCGGTGCCTGCCCGCCGGCGGGTCTTGGCCCTCTGGTGGGCAGGGCCGTGCCTAGAGGTGGGTGTGGGCTCAGCCTGTCCGCTGATGGGTGGGGCTGCGTTCCCGCCCTGTTGCTTGTTTGGCCTGAGGCGCCCCAGCCCTGGAACCTGCAGGCCTTTGGGCAGGGCCGGCTCTTGGTGCCCCTATGGCATCCTCCAGGGACTTCCCTGGTGGTCCAGTGATTCAGACTCTGCTCTTCCAACGCAGGGGGTGCGGGTCCTGGTCAGGGAACTAAGATCCCACATGCAGCACGGCAGGGCCAAAAAAAAAAAAAACAAACCCAAACCAAAATGGCCGCCCCCAGGAGCGCTCGCGCGGAGGACTATTCCCCCAGGACCTGCGCCTCCAGTGCCCTCGCTCCCACAGTGAACCACAGCCGACCCCCGCCTCCCCCGGAGACCCTCCAGGACCCGCAGGTAGGTCTGGCCCAGGCTTTGCTTTGCCCTGGGTCCCGGTGCACGTGAAACCTTGTGTGCGCCCTCCGCGAGTGGAGGAGTCTCTGTCCCCCCCAGCCCTGCGTGGCTCCTGCACTCAAGCCCCGCTGGCCTTCAAAGCCAAATGCTCTGGGGGCGCCTCCTCCCGAGGCCAGACCCCCAGGCTGGGGAGCCTGGCATGGGGCTCAGAGCTCTCACTCCTGTGGGAGAGCTTCTGCGATATAATTGTTCTCCAGTTTGTGGGTCGCCCACCTGGGGGTATGGGATTTGATTATATCGCGAGTGCGCCCCTCCTGCCATCTCGTTGGGTTTCTTCTTTGTGTCTTTGGATGTAGAATATCAGTTTTGGTAGGTTCCAGTCTTTGCTATCAATGATTGTTCGGCAGTTAGTTGCGATTCGGGTGGCTCGTGAGAGGGGGCGAGCCCACGGTATTTCGATTCCACCACCCTGTCCTCTTGATGAAGCCACTTTCTTCAGAAAACTCCCAGTTCTTTCAAATTCCATCAGTTTGGTTACCAAATACTTTCCCCCTGGCTTCTGCTGGTTGCTAGCAATGCCGGGCATTCCTCGGCTTCAGGCTGGGTAACTCCCATCTGTGCCTCAGCGGTCACGTGGCGCTCGTCCGGGTGTCTGTGTCCAAATTCCCCTCTTCCTGACGGTCACTCCTCTCGCAGTCCACCATCTCCCTCTATGCCTTTATATAATGATAAAAAAAAAAAAATAGGAGCCTATTATACATACTGTTTCATAACCGTCAGTCGGCCCTTTATATGAAGTAGCTCTCATGTCAATAAAGCCCAGGCCAGCTTATTTATTATAATGGCCACGAGGTATTCCGTGGTGAGCATTACTCAACAGACCCTCATGCAATTAGGGATTTAGGTTGTTTCTTAACTGAATGTACTGAATAACTGAATAAACAGCTTGGTAGGTAATATCTATGCACATCCTTAATTAGTTCTGGGGGATAAGTTCGTTTAAGTGGCATTGCTGGGCCAAGGAGTATGCCCAGCAAGGAAAGTTCTTGATCCTATTGTCAGTAACCCTCCAGAATGCTTGGCCCATAGGTGTATCAAAGTGCTGATTTTCCAGCTCCTTACTAAAATTATCTTCTCCTTCTCATAACTTTTATAAATTTTAGCTGGGAAATAGATGTCTTTCTTCATCTATGAGCCCTCTGCTGGCAACATTCTCCACACTCCAGGCAGCTGGGGAATGAATGACTAGTTTATTTTGTCAATAACTTGTGAGGATGGACTTTCGAATGTGGCTCCCAAGGCATGCCAGGGGAGGACAGATTTTTATGACCCAAATAATTTTCCACTGTTATTGAGTTCTCAGGATCAGGAAAAAAAAATGAGGCACAAAAGAATACAATCCATAAATGCTTTCTTGTATTTTGTCTAATGAACATGTGTCGCTTTTATAATTAGAAGATACTACAAACATATTATGAAAGAGAGAGAGAGAGAGATTGAATGTATCAATAGTATGGATTTAAGCCAGGTAGACACGCAGACATGAAAATATTTTATTGCTTACATGTGTGTTAGTCTGGGTGCTCAGAGAAGCAGGCACCAAAATGGAATTAAATGAAATGTGGACCCTATTAGAGGAAACACCTGTGAGAGAGAGCGTGAGGCAGGAGGTGAACAGGGCTGGGAGAACCATGACAGAGAGGGAAGAGGGACAGAAAGCTGGGGAGGAAGCCCTCCAGACTGCCTCAATGTCTAAGGAAGGTTTGGCAAGACTACTGGGGAACTTGGACCCAAGCCAGCCATCAGGGAGTCCCTAGTCTCCAGGGACAGCTCTGCCTTCCTATCCTACAGATCTTAACAATATTTACTATTCTACCTAAGAGAGGTCTCTTTCTACTAGAATGTAAGGAAACCTTTTTTTGAAAGGAAAGTTTTGAAAGAAACTCTGTGGTGTGTAATTTTGCCTTTACAATTTCAGGCAGTATATGCATAAGTCTAACATATCTAGTAGCAATATTTATATGAGAGTAGTTTTATAACTAGATAATTCTAAAACCTGTAGCTGTAATATCTAGATGAGAACCACTTTGTAATGGCAAGTTTGGATCACATTAGTGATA